AATGGTGAAGCTGGAGGAGCTGTCCTGGGAGACAGTAATGGTGATAGCTGGAGGTGCTGTCCTGGGAGACAGTAATGGTGAAGCTGGAGGTGCTGTCCTGGGAGACAGTAATGGTGAAGCTGGAGGTGCTGTCCTGGGAGACAGTAATGGTGAAGCTGGAGATTTTGTCCAGGTAGTCGGGAATTATACGCAGGAAGGAAAAACATATAATGACCTCATAGGGGCCCAGGAGCCGTAGTGGGGAAACAAGTGTAGTCAAAGATAAGATAAAACCAATATTGCAAACTAGAAAAAACCACAGGAAATAGCAAACAAAGGGGACTCCACAAAGCAATAGGGGAGGATATATTACCAAAAACAACTGGTGGGAGCTCCATTGTTGGTGCTAGGGAAAGGATAGGAATAAGACGGGTAAACATGCACCAACAGGGAATACAGTCACAGAAACCCAAGGAAAACGGAAACCAAAGCCTGTGCACATACTATGCACTTGGTATCTGCTGGCATGGGAAATCTGGAAAAACAGATGGGAAATGCAACTATGACCACCCAAAGAAAAGTTCATGCCCATATGACAACAGGAAAATGCAAACTCCCTTCCTGTAAGCTTTTTTCACCCTGAAATGTGTACCTCTTCAGTACAGGAAAGACTGTGCTATAACTTAAATTTCCAGGCATACCATCTAAAGGGGACAAAAAGATACAAAACATCCAGGCCATGAAAACCTGGGGAGCCACAGCCACTCAAGAGGGAGAGGTTTTTTAGTGCCAGGAAGGAAAAAAAACTGCAGGAAATGGCAGAAATCGTACACCAAATCCAGTCATTCCCGGGGTGGAACCACAGTCGATGGGCCCCCACTCCAAACCAACAGATACAGATACTAATGCCGGAAAAAAAATCCCCCCCCAGTACCAACAATACCACCAGTCCGATAACATTCTTCTTTGCAAATATACAGGGTCTAAAGCCAGCAATAAACAACAAAATACCTTTCACCGGGACTGCTTGCAGAGGCAAAGGCAATGTTCGCGGCTTTCACGAGACCCACATAAAGGATCACTTGGACAACGAAATATGGATCCAGGTACAACCTATACAGATGTGACAGAGTGAACAGGCAAAAGGGGGGGGTTGGCCTGTACATTGCAGAGTCACTTGTTTGCACAGAACTGCTTAATGCCTCAAATGACGTAGTGGAAGTTTTAGCAGTAAAGGTCGAGAACCAAACCTAGTCATTGTGGTAGTCTCAAGCCTCCGGATGCAACATCCCAGCAATTCCAGGAACAGCTGTAAAAATTGACCACTGTCTGGAAAATCTTCCAGCTCCTGCACCCAACATCTTGCTCCGGGGGATTTCAACTTAAGGCACCTAAAATGGAGAATATAGCAAATAATATTGTTGCAGTAATAACACCAGGAGGCAGCTCTGATGAAAACTCACACACTCACACGAGCTTTAAATCTCTGCACAAAATTCAATTAAACCAGCAAATAATAGAGCCTACTAGACTGGAGAATACACTAGACCTCATCTTCACTAACAATGATGATCTGATAAGAATGTCACCATATCAAAAACAATATACTCAATCACAACATAATTGAGTTCAGACATTATGCGTGGAGCCCCAGACCGGACAAAATGACACTAGTCACAGGGAGCATTCACCAAATTCAACTTCAATAACAAAAACATAAAGTGGGACCAAGTAAACCAAGTCCTAACCGATATAAGCTGGGAAGATATACTAAGCAACACAGACCCAAACTTATGCCTAGAACAGATTAACCGGTGGCACTCGATGTATGCACAAGGCTTATTCCTCTAAGAAAAAGGAGGAGTAGATGTAAAATAGAAAGAGACAGGCGCTCCCTTTAACAGGCGACGGAAAAGAATAACAGAGCGGCTAAAAGAGGTCAATATATCAGAAATGCGCAGGGAGACACTGGTCAAGAAATAGCAAGCATCGAACTTAAGCTAAAAGAATCCTTTAGGAGTCAGGAATCGCGGGAAGAACTAAAAGCCATAAATGAAATCGAAAGAAACCCAAAGTATTTCTTCTCCTATGCCAAATCAAAATCGAGAACAACGTCCAGTATTGGGCCCCACTTAAACAAGATGGGTCCTACACAGATGACAGCAAGGAAATGAGTGAGCTACTCAAGTCCCAATAGACTCAGTTTTTAGCAAAGCCGCTAACCAGACTGAGAGTCAAGATCAAAATGAATTTTTTATGAAGAGCCACAAAATTTGATTAACACAACCTATCCGATGTTATCCTGACGCCAAATGACTTCGAACAGGCGATAAATGACATGCCCATGACTCTGCCCCAGGGCCAGACTCATGGAACTCTGTGTTCATCAAGAACTGCAAGAAGCCCCTATCACGAGCCTTTTCCATCCTATGGAGAGGGAGCATGGACACGGGGTCGTCCCTCAGTTACTAAAAACAACAGACATAGCCCCACTCCACAAAGGGGGCAGTAAAGCAACAGCAAAGAACTACAGACCAATAGCACTAACATCCCATATCATAAAAATCTTTGAAAGGGTCCTAAGAAGCAAGATCACCACCCATCTAGAAACCCATCAGTTACACAACCCAGGGCAACATGGGTTTAGAACAGGTCGCTCCTGTCTGTCTCAACTACTGGATCACTACGACAAGGTCCTAAATGCACTAGAAGACAAAAAGAATGCAGATGTAATATATACAGACTTTGCAAAAGCCTTCGACAAGTGTGACCATGGCGTAATAGCGCACAAAATGCGCGCTAAAGGAATAACAGGAAAAGTTGGTCGATGGATCTATAATTTCCTCACTAACAGAACACAGAGAGTAGTCGTCAACAGAGTAAAGTCCCGAGGCAGCTACGGTGAAAAGCTCTGTTCCACAAGGCACAGTACTAGCTCCCATCTTGTTCCTCATCCTCAATCCGACATAGACAAGGATGTCAGCCACAGCACCGTGTCTTCCTTTGCAGATGACACCCGAATCTGCATGACAGTGTCTTCCATTGCAGACACTGCAAGGCTCCAGGCGGACATCAACCAAATCTTTCAGTGGGCTGCAGAAAACAATATGAAGTTCAACGATGAGAAATTTCAATTACTCAGATATGGTAAACATGAGGAAATTAAATCTTCATCAGAGTACAAAACAAATTCTGGCCACAAAATAGAGCGAAACACCAACGTCAAAGACCTGGGATGATTATGTCGGAGGATCTCACCTTCAAGACCATAACATTGTATCAATCGCATCTGCTAGAAAAATGACAGGATGGATAATGAGAACCTCAAAACTAGGGAGGCCAAGCCCATGATGACACTCTTCAGGTCACTTGTTCTATCTAGGCTGGAATATTGCTGCACTCTAACAGCACCTTTCAAGGCAGGTGAAATTGCCGACCTAGAAAATGTACAGAGAACTTTCACGCGCGCAAAACGGAGATAAAACACCTCAATTACTGGGAGCGCTTGAGGTTTCTAAACCTGTATTCCCTGGAACGCAGGAGGGAGAGATACATGATTATATACACCTGGAAAATCCTAGAGGGACTAGTACCGAACTTGCAAACGAAAATCACTCACAACGAAAGCAAAAGACTTGGCAGACGATGCACCATTCCCCCAATGAAAAGCAGGGGTGTCACTAGCACGTTAAGAAACCATACAATAAGTGTCAGGGGCCCGAGACTGTTTAATTGCCTCCCAGCATACATAAGGGGGATTACCAACAGACCCCTGGCAGTCTTCAAGCTGGCACTGGACAAGCACCTAAAGTCAGTTCCTGATCAGCCGGGCTGTGGCTCGTACGTTGGTTTGCGTGCAGCCAGCAGCAACAGCCTGGTTGATCAGGCGCTGATCCACCAGGAGGCCTGGTCACAGACCGGGCCGCGGGGGCGTTGACCCCCGGAACTCTCTCCAGGTAAATATCGACTGATGAAGCCACTGTGTGGCGAAACGTCTCCTCATTAAAGATACCCAAGTGTTGCACATGTATCTAATTCATCAACTTGTCGGTTCTCTGAACCATTCATCTACAATATTCACTCTCTAATCCCTATTTGATGACTTTTTTTGGGGTCATCCCAGGTTCTCTACACATATGATAATGTAACTGTATTTGTGTATACCTGAATAAACTTAATGCTGTGGGTATTAGTCTAAATATTACTGACTCAAATAATGGGTCCAGTTTCTTTTGGACTCAGTTCTGTTGGCTATTATATAAATAAATTATTTATAAGAATGATTTCAATAAAAAAATACAGCAATGTTAGGGGTAATTTAACAAAAAAAATGTATATAGCCTGTTATACATGTCAGTTTCCGGCATTAACTTCATCCAGTTAAGTTTACTTGGGTACACATACAGTTACACAAATTATCATACATAGTAACATAAATTACACATCAAGATAACCCAAAAAAAGGTCAGACAAAAATCACTCGTTTCTTTTGGTCTCCTCGACTTATTTCCATTGAGGTACTTGTACTTATTTTCAATGAGGTCTGAGTTGAGGCTGGAAAGTAAGTTTATTCAAGCCCAGATACACATAAGTACAATTATCATACATAATGTAAATTAACTGGATAACCAAAAAAGTCAGAAGTGACCTTTTTTTTTCATTGGGATCTTTGAGCTGTGAGGATAATAACAGTATCAGTATCCAACTGTTAAATATTCTTAAGAGGATGCTGCATAAATATTCATGAGAGAAACTCCCTGAGGTTAACAAATAAACTATTTATAGACATAATATTTAGTTAACCTCAAAATTCCCCCCTGGCTATTCTCACGTCAAATAATTCAGGTCACAAAACGGAACACATTGACTACATGTTAACCACTATTCCAGCATATAATAAATAACTAAATAATTATTTAAAATTTCTTAAAGTACAAGTTATTAATCAGTTGCAGTTTTAGGGATATGCGAGTAAGATAAAAGAAAATAAGGTTCATATTCTCCATGTACAAGATAGGAAGATCAGCTGTTTACCCACAATTCTCAGGCTGCCACGTCTGTTTTGTCTCGTAGGGTCAATCTTGTTGAAAATTCTTTCCCAGGGGCAGAGTAAGGCCACTTAGGGGCCTCCGAGGGAGCGGGCATCACCATGGGAGGATCACAGAGTACGGAAATACCCGGGGGAGGCATGGAAGGCTACCATGTACTGAGGGTAAGAGAGAGAGAGTTGACCTTACTTAATTTCCACAGACTCGCCGATGCTAATTTTGGACTTTTAGTAAGTAACCAATGAACATTAGTCACTTTGTTTGACTCTTTTGGGTTATCCTAGATAATTTACACCATGTATGATAATTGTATTTATGTGTACCTGTGCCTAAATAAACTTAAATTTGATTTCCACAGACTCGCCGATACTAATTTTGGATTTAAGTAATTAATCAAAGCCCCTTATGGACATAAGTCACTTTGTCCGACTTTTTTTTTTGGGGGGGGGGGGTTCCTACGTAATTTATACCATGTATGACAATTGTACTTATGTATATCTCTGCCTAACTTAATATTGTAGAGTTTGATGGTGTTGGCTAAACAAGTAAATGATTCTGGGCATCATTATCATCATCATCATCATCATCATCATCATTATCATTATCAGAAAAAAGACACTTATGTACACTTCAAGACATTTATTAGAGGAAATGTGGCTTCTGCAGCCACTCGTGGCGAAACATTTCCCGTGAAAACTTCCCTGAGCTGCACATAAGTGTCTTTTTTCTGCATCTTGTCTGTATCGCTGTACCATTTTTCGATCATCAATTTGTTGTGTTCCTGGTATAGTGATGTGTGAAATAAGATTTGCTGTTGTATGCTGGTGTTAGTGGATTTTGATCTTAGACTGGCAGCTTGTCATTGTCTCCAAGAATATATTTAAATATCTTGTCATTGTCTCCAAGAATATATTTAGATAGCTTGCCAAGAAAACATTTAGAGATAGTTTGCCATTGTCTCTGCCTAGAAATATATAGAGATCACTTTCTGTTCACATAGGCTTCATAAACATTTAAACTATTTATTGTATTGGGATGACCTCAAGTCATTCAGATTTGTACCCTTCTGACTAAAAAAAAAAAATAGTCATAGTCAAGATATGGAAAGCATGCACTTCATCTATATGCTAAAATAAAACAAATTGTTATGAAGTGTACAAAGGAAAAGTTAAAGTAAATCCACGGGTGCGTTATATGTATATTTTATTTAAACTACAGTAAAAATATTCATAACATTTGTTGTCATTTACCTAAATGATCAGAATGTATGTTGTGTATTTATTTACGCATTTATTCTTTTTTTTTTTTCTAATACTGGTACTGTAGTATTATACTGCGCTACATGACCAGGATCATTATTATAGATAATTATATATTTTAAGTTTTTGTTGCTAGTTGGTAAAGCAGATCCATTGCAGTGGTAATTAATTATTTTACAGGTTCAAGAAAACTCCCCGGGACAAATTGCTGGACTGGAAGCTTTCTTTGACTTCATTGTTTCAATTGGTAACACAAGACTGGTGAGTAAAAACTATTATAGATGCTAATCTATCTACATTTCACAGGGTCATCAACAGCAAATTATCTCACACTAATCATCATAAAAGACTCATAAAAATTGTCTTCCATGCCACTGGTAGTTGTAGACAGCACACACACTCTTCATATAGTACTGCTGGATTTACTAATAATTTTTTCGTAATTACCCAGTTTTTTAAGGCCCCCAGTACAATTAAATGGCAATGACATAATGCAGTTATACTACACTAAAGTAGTAGTTTGTAAATTTCCTGAATAACATTTATCTTATGTTTGATTCCTTCTCAAGGGAGGTCCCTTGATGCCAGTGAGGGGCTCTTGATCTAGGGAAATGGTCTGTGCTCCAATTCCCCGAATTAAACCGGAATGCCTTCCAACCCCCCAAACCCCTCCCCAGGAGCTGTATAATCCTTACGGGTTTAGCGCTCCCCGATAATAATAATAATCTTTGATTTCTCTTCAGCTACAGAATACTAAATACAAGTACATATAGTAATAACATAGACTTTGGATACTTCTTAGTTTGGTATCAAAGAACTTTTAAAACTTGTTAGATTGATGTACAAGAACACTGGTACATATATCAAAAGAAACAAAGACCATAAATATTCATGTGACTGTACCTAAGCAGGAACTTCTTATATTTAAAATACTACTAGTTTAAAAATATGGGACAGCTTATTAGAAGCTTAAAACTGTACAGTAATAATTAGCTTCAAAGGATTTGTCATTGAACTCTGAATATGATCTAAGTTTAGATGTGCAAGTTCACTAAGCACTATACTTTTTTTTTAATATTTGCTGTCTCCCATTGAGGTAGGATGACAAAAAAAAAATGAAACATTCATCATCATTCAATCACTGTCTTTGCAAAAGAATGTTGACATCACAGTTCAAATTACCCTCCGAACTGCAACATCCTCTCACCCTTAATTCATAGTGCAGGACCCCAAGTGGAAATAAGTCTGTCTGACTTTTTTGAGTTATCTTAAGTAATTTACACATATGTTAATATGTATGAAAATTTGTGTAACTGCATTTGTGTACCTGTACCTAAATATACTTACTAACTTCCCACTTCCAAGACTCAAGCTGTATTCCAGTAAACATGACTTCACCCCATTCAGTTTAAAAATAAATTTCTTTATTATCCATATATTTCATGCTATCTCATTTGCTCTTTTTCATGATGTAGCTGACTTATTACCAAACCATCTAACTTTTACCATCCAATTAAAGTGTTTGCTTTAGGAATATCTGATCTTGAAGTGTCTCCTTAAAACTTGTCACTTACGAAGTTCCTCAGTCAATCTTATCTTACTAAGGGGCCACTGACTATGGGATGTGAGAAACTGGTTTTCTGTAAATTTTCAGGTATTTAGCTAATAGTCAGATTCAGTGCACTTGAGAAAATTGGTTTTTATTTTGGTATTAAACAAAACCAGGAGTATAATATTGATTTTGCAATTTCTTTCATTTATACATACATGCACACACACAGTGATAGTGTGAATGATCGCAAAACTGTTTCTTTATTGGGTCGCCTGCCCTGGTGGGAGATGGCCAGTGTATTAAAAATAATAATGCATTTATTATATATTTTTTACAGGACCAGGACAATGATACACTTAAAGAGCTTCTCAAGAACTCCATAGAGAAAGAGCTAAAGATGACTGTGTATAGCAGCAAAACCCAGACGATCCGTACTGTAAACATAACACCATCAAACCTCTGGGGTGGTCAAGGCTTACTTGGGGTTTCCATTAGATTCTGCTCTTTCGAGGGAGCCAATGAAAATGTCTGGCATATTCTGGTAAGTTTTTAACCTTCAATCTGCTTCATTTGTGAATGTTAGATTAAGTGGAATTATCAGAAATATAGCTCACAAGATTGATTAATATTCTGTATACAGGAAGGCTTGATTAATATTCTGTATACAGGAAGGCCCCCACTTACACAGCAGGTTAGGCTCCAGGCTCCTGCTGTAAAGCGGGAAATAGCCTTTTTTCACATTCAAGTGTATATAAAAATCTGACATGTTTACACTATCATATATTAAGTGAGCAATAGAGCCAGGCCTAAAAAATGCATATACAGTACACATGTTACTTACCTCAATATTTTCATCCTTAGTTTTTAGTGAGTAGGGAATACATATATACGTATTGTTCGAAGTCTGAATAAATTAAGAATGGGCATAATTGAAAACCTCTGCATTAGCAAAATGCCATAAAGCAAAACACTGTAAAGCAGGGCCCACCTGTAGTTAGGATCACTTTGAAGATATATACATATATATATGAATATAATATGTTAATAAATCTTTAATATACTGCAATTTTTGCCTACAGGAAGTAGAACCCAACTCTCCCTCTGACATTGCTGGGCTTCAGTCATATAAGGATTACATCATTGGTGCAGACTCAGTGCTCCACGAGAGTGAAGACCTGTTTTCACTCATAGAGGCACATGAAGGTCGACCTCTTAAGCTCTACGTTTACAATGTAGAAACTGATTCTTGTAGAGAAGTAACTGTCACACCTGACACCCAGTGGGGAGGCTCAGGGAGGTGAGTTTTGTGAAGGGATTCAGGGAAACCGGTTATTTTCATATAGTCGGACTTGAGTCCTGGAAATGGGAAGTACAATGCCTGCACTTTAAAGGAGGGGTTTGGGATATTGGCAGTTTGGAGGGATATGTTGTGTATCTTTATATGTGTATGCTTCTAGACTGTTGTATTCTGAGCACCTCTGCAAAAACAGTGATAATGTGCGAGTGTGGTGAAAGTGTTGAATGATGATGAAAGTATTTTCTTTTTGGGGATTTTCTTTCTTTTTTGGGTCACCCTGCCTCGGTGGGAGACGGCCGACTTGTTGAAAAAAAAAAAAAAAAAAAAATTTAACTCTGAGTTAATATATTAGTGTAAAGTGTAGGCTGAAGATATATTTATTTAGTTACATTATTATTTTATCTACAGGAGCCGAGTTATGTTCATGATGGCTCGTCTTTATTTTTTCCTATTTCAATGATTGTAGCACTTGCTACAACCTCTTGTATATGCAGTATAATATTTACTTATAAACCATTGTTAATTATTTTCTCTGTTGCTTTTTTGGGACAGGAAGTTTGTATCTTGTGAAGGAACTGCATTTTGAACAGTAGCAGTCGGTGTTTTGATATCTTTAGCAAGTAGACTTTCTTTTAGGTTTCTTTTTTGTTTGTTTTACATGATGACTTGACTAGTTTGCAGTTATTAAATGCTGGTATAAGACATTACTGTGATAGTGCTCAGTATTGTAGGTAGTAATGCTGGTACTATATGATGTCTATGCAGTCAGTGCTGCAGATTCCATTGAAATATTGGTGATATCCTTCAGATTTGAAGCATGGTACTTTTATAAATAACAGTATTGATGTTACATTTTCTATAAACACAGAAGTTATAGTTTTTAATCAAATTTGTACTGAATTGCATTTTACGGGGAAAATTTCCCAAAATTTCAATAGTATAGTAAATCATAAAGTTGTGTGTGTCACATTACACATCATGAGGCAGTCAGGGTTTTGGTGTTAAACTTGTTTAATATTACACTTTATACACACACTAAGTATTCAGGTTACTGTTTATTATAAATACTCATGACTTCCATTGAATCCTGAAGATGTATGTTAAACAATAGAATTATATGAATTCTTGTACTGTATATTAAGATATATAGCTCTGAGCCTATTGTTTATTGTCTAAAGTATGTACTATTTATTCAACTATAGTGATATGTTGTTCTAGGTTATTGTTAATGTTGAGTGACTCTCAAGTAATTTTTTTGTTATGCAGTTGCCTAAGAATCATTAAACCTTGACTTGTTAATATTTGGAGGTCTATATATATATTATATAACTCCAATTGCTATTAAGGTATTTAAATTGTTGAACTGTAGTATTGGCACACCTCTGGCAAGACAGTGATGGAGTGAGTGGTGACATAAGTGTTTCTTCTTTTTTGGGGGGTCACCCTGCCTTGGGAAACAGACGATATATTAAAAAACACGAATGGAGCAAATAAAAGTTATTTATTCCCTATACATACATACAATACAGTAGACTCTTCATTTTTTCAGCTTGGGGTGTGGCATTGGCTATGGGTACCTACACCGCATCCCCACACAGCGAGGTGGACCTATCATCGATACACCCAAACGATCACCTAATGATGCGTCTGATGGTGAAACACTATTACAGGTATCTCTCTTGAGACAGTAGGAAAGTTTGGCCACACTGGAGATGAGGTTACTGCATTTTGTGAAAATTTTGGCAATACAGTATCTACAATTTTCTCTAATTTAAAAAATCTACCTCCTGCAGCAGGCATATTATATTTTTACAATGGTGACCTCTTATATAAGGTCTTGATAAACTTCATTTTTAAAATGCAATTAACACCTCATACAGCAAGTTTGGCCTTTGTAACTTACTAGTTTTTTTTTTTTTTGTTACAGAATACTGTATAATGTTTTTTTACTGTATTTAGAAGTTTATTGATTGTGTACAGCATTTCAGTAATCTCTATAGATTTTCCTAAATACACATAATTTAACATAGTGTTGTTGCACTTTAATGATCATTTTTATTATTATTTCTTCATAATCATCACCTGGTATTCAAATGATCATGCTAATGTAGTGAAAAATAACTACAAGCTAGAGGTAATCCTATTTCCTTAAATTTCTTATTTCTGAAATTAGAACTGGGTATTTCTCCTTTAATTAGGGCTGAGCAACCAATTGTGTGTTTAGCCACTTTACTACAAATCCATAAATTGCTTGCATTAGTAAAATGTACTTCAGTACCATAATCTTTACTAGTTTTATATAAGGCAATTAGTTGCCAACTATGGTTACATCTAATGATGTAGTAAATGTGTGCACAGTTGGTTCCAAGAAAGTAAAATTGAAAATTATTCATTGTCCTGTGCATTCATTACATTGTTACCCTAAATATAAATACAATAGAACCCCCCGTATCCGTGGATTAGGCTTCCATGGTTTACCATGGCCCAAAAATAACCCTTAATTTTCCTTAATAATGTCCCCAAAGCGCAAAAGTAGTGAGGGTGGCAGTTCTTCAAAGCCTGAGAGAAGCCGTGAAGTGCTTCCCATCAGTAAAAAAGTGCCAATTTTTTACTTATTGTGCATAATTTATCAATTAAACTTTATCATAAGTATTTATGTAAACAAAAAGCAACTTGTATATAGGGTTCACTGCTATCTGCAGTTTCAGGTATCATGGTAGGTCCTGGAGCATATCTCCCATGGATACGGAGGGACTACTGTACAGCTTGTTAAGCATTCCATAATACAGTCATATCTCATTAATACAGCACTTGCTTTAGAGTGCTTTGCTAATTCAGTGCCTTTCAATTGTACGTTTGTGTTTTATTATTTTCAGCGCTTGCCTTGCACATAACATGATTTTCAACAATTTTTAATTTTTTATTTAATTAATTTTGCTTTTGCATTGCTTTTTTAGGCCTAGTGCTATTGTGCACTTAATAAATGATAGTGCAAATGTGTTTTTAAGCTTGTATATGCACTGGCAAGTGAAAAAAGAAAAGCTGTGATTTGCTTTAAAGTGATACTTGCTTTACGGCTGCAGTCTGGAACCTAAACCACTGTATTAGTGAGGCATGCCTTTACAGGAAAATATAATTTCATTGATATATAAATTTTTTGTCACTTTAATTATCCATACATACTGTACATATCTGTAATTTTTCAGGTTGCAACAGGAAGTGAGGTAGAGGCTGTGGCCTCCAGTATAGCAGGAATAAGTGTAGGAGAGGGTATTCCAGCTACAATGACTGCAGGCTCAACCATTCCTCCACCCACTGCCTTTACAGCTGCTCCTGATGCCCATCCAGCATTTGCAACAGCTACTGCAACTGCCGCTACCACTGCAGCAATACCTGCAGCATCTACAGCAGTCCCCAACATTCCTCCTCCTGCAGCTTTTACACCAACATCTGTTCCTCCCCCAGTTGAACTTCCAGCCAGCTTTACCACTCACATTCCTACAATGGCTCCTCAGTCTCCTGCTTACACTTCTCTTCAGGCTCCTTCTGAAGTGCCAGTTCCAACACCTGTTCAGACTTTGAGCATGCAAGTTCCAATGCAACCTACTCTGTCACCCTCCCCAAGTTCCAACCTTCCTCAAGTTGCAGGTTCTCAGCCTAGTCCACTGACAATAGGTGGTGCCCCAACTGTACCAGTGGTATCCAGTAGTCCACAGGTAATGGGAAGTCCTGAATTTAATGTTCCAGCAGCCCCTATTCTATCTCCAATGTCAACAGGTCAACAAATTCCTCCTTTCAGTACCACCTACACTTCTTCAGTCATTCCACCACCAGTCACTCCTCCATCATTCACAGGTTTGTAAATATACTTTATTTGTATGTATCATTATCAAAAGTGCATGTTCACGTGTATTTACATGTGTATATGCATATAAACTTATGCATTTACACATGTATGTACTTAGGTATTCTGATACAAGGTATCAACTAATGTTTACAGACATGAGTGTTTATCCCTTTCAGGGTCAAGAGGCCCTCTCCTAAACTTGTTCTCAGGGTTGAAAATTTTTCGGAAAAAAAAAATTATTTTTTCTTATGAATTGATAGAGAATCTTTTCCCGATCATAATGACACCAAAAGTGTGAAATTTGATGGAAAACTTATGTAATTGTGCTCTCGTGAAGTTGGCGATCTCCACGATGCTTACGCATCAGCGATTTCACCTACTTTGAGCCCTATTTTTGGCCAATTCCAGAAACTAGTCTACAAAAATCATAACTATTACACTAGAACAACATTTTTTCTATCGAATGAGTACAAGAAACCACCCATTTGCCGATTTCAACTATCCAATAAAGTGGTCAGAAATTGGCAATTTTGCCAATTTCACACAAATTTCAAAAGATATCAATTTCCAAATAGGGTCCAGAATAAACAAGACAGATATTCCTGGCACTAAAATAACATTTCCTCTGTTCATTAGTCACATCCCCATGCCCCTCTTACAATTCTTTTGCTTTCCACTTTGAATTTTTATTCACAAAAAATAGAAGAGTTACTGTTATGCAGACTACTGCATTAGTGTAGAAATGGTATAAATAATATCAGCACACTTGTGAAAGAATATTAGACTCGCCAGTTGATGTGTATTGGACGCATGGCATGATTTGTTTACTTTTGAACTTTGGCAAAAATTTAACATTTCTGCTTCTTAGAGCTCAATTTCAAGGTACTTTTCATTGTGAAACCAATCAAAATCATTTCAATTTCTGTAATATGTCTTCCATTCTATAAAATGAGACCAGGAAAACTAGAATACAACCATAAATATCATATGAAAATACAGTGCGAAGTCGCCGTTTTAAACCAAAAACATGGTCAAAGTTTTTTTTTCTCCCCATTACGCACTGTGTGCTGCAGGATTTTTTTATATTGTGCACACTGACTACATAGACCCATTCTTTCATATGTAAGCCTACCAGCTTTCTCTCGCTAGATTTGAAGGCGCTAGAATTTACGTGTACTTGTACGTCAATAACCCTGGTGCGTAAGATGTACTAGTACGTTGGAAACGCTGAAAGGGTTAATTATAGCAGTAATATTTCTGATTACTTAGTTTAAGTATGCATGTGTGTGTGTGTGTGTATTTTTTTTCAAAAAAACCTGCCGTATCCCGAGACAGGGTGACCCAGAATGAAAAATGAAAGGTTCTCTTTTTAAATTTAGTAATTGATACAGGAGAAGCTGTTACCAACCCCTTGCTCCACTGTGTAGTATATCTGGTACATAAATATTGCATGTGCCTGTTATGTAGTTCATTTAAGCAACAAACTATTAAAATATTCTAAAATTTACAGTAATTTGCCAAGAGATGTGGAACTTTCCCCCTCTACATCCTGGAACTATACATGTTGTATTTACAGATTTTGTAGTACAGTATACATGATTTAACCATCGTCATGATTTAAAGTTAAAGAATCTGGAAATAATGTCTTTGCAATATGTACATTATGCACCTTCCTTTAGTTACATGTATTAGGGAGGCATTCTCTGCCAATGATGATGTCCAATTGTTTGATCTAACTTCCAGTTGGGCAGTATCTGTGCATCCCTCCAATAATATTGTATTCAGCAATGCAGTGCTATTTATAAACTTTCATCAGTAATCAGTTATACCTTTTCGATATTAGAGATAGTTATGCTTATAACTACACAAGGTGGTGTAAAACATTTTGTTTCTCGTACCAGAAGTTGATACTTTCAATGATTTCATGTCTTTCTTCCTCCCTCTTTACTTTCCCTTCAATTTTTTTTACTTGCTGTATGATATCTTCAGAAGTATCTAATAACAAATTTTGAGTTCCTTCTACAACTATTTTCATAAGAGCTTAAGAGTTGAGAAAAAGAGGGTTTCTGGGCCTAGGCAGAGATTTTATTTTTATTTTTATAAGTCTCATTGCTTTCCTCTCCCCCTTTAGAGAGGAAATTGCAATGAAGTGAGGAATATTACCATAGAACAGGTGAATAGGTCAACTGTGGCAGAGACAAAGAGCCCTAAAGCTGGAAGAGGAAATGGTAAAGCTGAAGGTGACTGTGAAAGGAGGAACAATGAGGAAGGCTTTTGAGAGGCAGTTTAATTCCCTCTGGGAGGAAGTTGTACCAATATATAACAAAGCCAGAGAAGAGGTTGCAGAGTAGGTTAATAGGGCTAATTTAGCAGAAGACAGAGCCCTAAAACTAAGAGAGGAAGTGACTTGTGCCTGCTTGGTCTACACACACTAATTATCCATGCTCATAGGATCCTCCTTTTCATTATACCATATTATAATGCTGTATTGGAATGATTTTCGTTGGTAGATGTAGAAGTAAGTCTTTCCACGTGGTTCTGTTAGTAATTATTTGTTAAAAAGCAGGTATCTGGGATTAGTTTCAAAGGAATGTGTTATAAACTTTGTAAATTATAAATACATTAGTAAATTTGATCTTTCAGCAACTCCAACAATGCCATCTATTCCTGGGATGCCAGTGACAACTCCCATCAACCTTCCTGGCATGCCTCCCATCACAGGTAAGCTTTAATCAGTGGTCAAGACTTGTGTGATATTGTTTCTTGGTATTTTGTTAATGTTGCATCTTTTTATTTAATAAATTGTTGCCCTGTATTGAGCTATATTTGTTGCATTGCTCTAGACCTTCCAGCAGTTCACCTGTCAACTGAATTAATATATCACTAGAGACACTGGCCAAAATTAGTACAGGATTAATAATGGAACTGGATTATAATGGCTGACCTGTATTAATAAACCTATATGAAATAATAAACATGTTCAAAAATCTATTTGGTTATTTTCTGTGCATCTGGTTCATCATCCACTTTTTTTATATTTAAAATGAATTTAATGATTGTTAATTATTTACATTTCATTGCAAATGCTTAATTTTTGTACAGGTAAAGCTCATTTTTACTTTTTAACATTTCAGTAAGAGCCACATTACCACCTGAGTCGTTCCAGGGCATGGCCAGCAATCCCCAAGCTACATCACAACCCCAACCAGTGCAATAGACTACAGCTGCCAGCTATATCTAGTGAGGGGGACACTAGAAAGCAACACTTATCAAATTGTCATCACCGGCATAACTTCCATTTCATTGTTTTAAAGTATAACTTGTATGACTATAAAACCCACACACACACACCTACACATACATAAATAATAAAAGATCTGGCTCACTTGCATTTTGAGCGATAAGAATGCCACACTTTAGGTTTGATAAAGTGTTGGTTGTCTCTTCACTTCATAGTGTATTATCAACCACTGTGAAATACAGTCTAGTAGTAATAAGAAAGAAACTAAAAAGAATAGTGCCCTACAAATGAGAAAAATTCAGTTAGAAGAGCTAGGAGGCTTATCTTGAACTATAGGATGCATAGATATCCTTTGGAAATAAATTTGGTTATCCATTTCTCTTCTTGTTTCCTCACTGCACATTTATTTTTTAAGCATAGTTAGGCACTCGGAGAGTAGAATATCAAAAATTATAATTTGCACCAGAGGTGATTGAGCAAGTTAACTAAAGTTATAATAAATGCGAAGTAAACAGGTAGCATTTGGACATGCAATTAGATTTTTAATAAGCTTATTTAATTTTAATCTCTATGAAAGCTTTGGCAAATATTTCAAACAGTTTAACCTCAATTACTTGTACTGTTTACTCAGAATTGTCATTAGTTCTTGATAAATTAACAAAAAATATGTGATGAAATGTCTATTAATGCTCTTATTTGGTAATGCATATTACCTTTGTAAATAATACTTCTTAAATGTTTTTAAGGAAACTATTTTTAACACTGACACTTGGTTACAGTAGGTATTTATATAATTGTTAGATGATGATGGTGATGAAACTAATTACTATTTGAATTATGCTGATTATTTTCTTCATTGTTTAAATTTGATATAAAAAAAGGGGGCAATTATAAGGTTGCAGAGCTCTGCAGTTACAGAATGTTGCATATATAAAATCTTTCATTGCCTGTTGCTTTAGGTTAATTTGGATTTTGGAATCCATTTTTTAAATGCGGTAAAGTTGATTTTGAATTAATAATGGCCTAAACATGAGCCTCTTCATTCATTATTGACTATACAGTCAACCTTGGTCCTACTCTAGTGTTTGGTGGCTGGCTTGTAATTCGGGAAACCTTTTTAATTTGGCTGTACTTGCCACCATACATTGTATAATTTAACATTATTCATATTTTCATAAAATGATTATTCCTGTAGAGCTTTTGGAAGCATTGTATGTGTATATATTCTTTATTCAGCTTTAGTAATTAGCTGTCTGTATAGCATAATGCCATAAATTATCTTTAACGCTAGAAAAGTATTTATATTTTCTGTCATAATTAATACTTCTGTTTTGTAGAACAGTGTGTGGTTGATTCCGAGAGCTTGTGGCTGAATTACTGTCAAAGTTAAGTAACCACTTTTTTTTATTTTAATGGTTCTTCACCTTGACTTCTTCAAAGAGGGGAGGGCCTTGATACTGTTTAAGGGCTCTTGATCTGCAGAACTGGAGCTTTCATCTGCTTCCTTGGATAAAATTTGATCATCTCTCATTCCCCAGGTATTGTATAGCGGAACCTTCGTACTCGAACTTAATTCATTCCAGACCGCTGTTCGAGTGTTGATCTGTTCGAATATCAAACGGATTCTTCCTAACCAATTTTCTTTTTGGTTGGTTGTTATCACTAATCTTTACAGGCCCCATTATGACTTATTTATACAAATAATATAAAAAAAGCACCAGAAAATGCGAAGAAACACGAAATAGTTTACAGCGGAGTTCTGGCAGGTCGTGTTTGTTTGGTCGAGTGCTGAGTTTTGTTCGAGTAAGGAGCTGTTCGAGTACTGAGGTTCCATTGTATAACCCTTGTGAGTAAAGCATTGACCACATTATAATTGAGAAAATTTATATCAGTTTACCTAAAAAAAAAAAATAATTTTATTGCCTTTGTGATTTTCTTGAGTTTTCCTCTATGTTCAATCGAAAGATTAACCTCATTGTTTTTCACATTCATCTTGGCAGTGACAAGTGGCACATTACTTGTATTTTGGCCTAATCAACTTAGATGTTTCACAAGCCAAGTAACTGTAGCATTGCTCTAGATTTCCAGTGTAGAAATGGTCACTGGTGGAACAATTTGAGGTGTGTACACGTCACCCGGCTGAATTTGTGAGTATGTAACCACACATACTGTTAGAGAAGTTTGTTATTCTCTAAAGTTTCTTGTGCTAAAGTGAGAAAAAAAGTTCTATACAGTCTTGAAATTACTGGATATCTCTGATTTTAAAATGTAATACTTAAGTGCCACTATTCAGATGTAAATGGCTACACTGTAAAGTGCTTTCTTACCTAATTGTATGCAAATACGAATTTGTTTAATATATTGTATAATACAAAGGTGCGTCACCTTTCTTTTACCTCTAACCTCAACACTTGAGAAAATTTTATATAGTATATATACTGTACAGTTGATGATTGATTATGTTATGTAGAGGGCTGGGCAGTGTTCATTTAATCAAAATTTAGTTAAGAGTATCAGAATTTGTAGGTAATAGGTTGGTAGACATCAACCACCCAGGGAGGTACTATTGTCCTGCTAAGTGAATGTAAAACGGAAGCCTGTAATTGTTTTACATGATGGTAGGAGTTCTGGTGTTTTTTTTTGTCTCGTAAACATGCAACATTTCAGGAATGTCTTGCTACTTCTCCTTGCACTTAGGTCACACTACACTTGCATGTACAAGCATATATATACACACCCCTCTGGGTTTTCTTCTATTTTCTTAGTAGTTCTTGTTTATTTCTTGTCTCCATGGGGAAGTGGAACAGAATTCTTCCTCTGTAAGCCATGCATGTTGTAAGAGGCGACTAAAATGCTGGGAGCAAGTGGCTAGTAACCCCTTCTCCTGTATATATTACTAAATTTAAAAGGAGAAACTTTAATTTTTCCTTTTGGGCCACCCCGCCTCGGTGGGATATGGCCGGTTCAGTGGGGTCTCGTGTATAGACACTGCGGAATTGCAGCACCCACTATTTTCACTCTGTATTATCTTTCTTTATACATGTACTTGTACTACAAATATAAAGAAAGAATTAAAAAAAGACTCGTTATATTGAATGCTATCAATAATATCGAGTGAAAATAGAGGGTGCTGCAGTTCCGCTACTTCCGCAGTGCCTGTACAAGAGCTGCCACTGGGCCTGTTTGTTGAAAAAAGAAAGAAGAGTATCAGAATTGTTAATTTTTTATTTGCTAGTTCAGTAGAGAAGGGTTTGGTGCTTAGTTTCGATAATAATAATCAGTAGAGAACGTTATTGTATTTTGACAATGCATGTTTTATAATAATAATACGAGTGAGATAAGTTGGATTTGAGTATGACCTGCCTAGCATGGGCCAGTAAGCCTGTTGCAGTGCTTCTCTATACTATGTTGTGTAAACAAAGCGAGGGAATATTATATAAATGGTTTACAAAAACTTAAGTTAATCTGTGAGACACTTGTGCTACATTTGGTTATATATTTTTATTGTGGAAGCATTTTATCAGAGTGGCTTCATCAGTCCAGTACAGAGAACGGTGGAAGGCGAGGAGTTTGAGGTAATCAGTCCCTCAGCCTGGAGTGTTCAGTCCGTCAAGCTTGGGTACAGCACATGCTGTACTTTTATCAAGATTGATGGAATGAACACACTGACTCCAGGTTTATTACCTCAAACTCTTCCTCATCTTCAAAGTGAGAGAAGAGGCTTGCATGAACTATTGGGTATTATCAAATTTATTTGTATGTTTAAGGTGGAATATGGTTACTGAGTGGTTTATACTTTTATGCACCAAAGTGGTAATCTAGTGTATGATAGGCCCTCACTATATTAGAATTTCAACCTTTCAAAAGTAGTATTCATGAATAGGTTGTCCCCTGACATTTTCCATTATCAGCAGTGAGATACAGTACCACACCATGACAAATGAGACACTTGTGCAAAATTTAAATATCTTTATCCTGGAAACATTTTGCCAGGAAGTGGCTTCTACAGTTCAGTACAGAGGAGAAGAACAATGGAAGATAAAGAGTTGGAGGTACTCAGTCCCTCAGCCTGGAGTTTGCAGTTTAACCCTTAAACATAGATCTACATTGACGTGCGTAGCGCTCCGACCTTTAATTTCTCCATTTGAAAGCATGTTAAATTGGACGTAGATCTACGTTCGAGAACTATGCATGTCAACGTAGATCTACTTTTGGACAGTTTAAGGGATATAAGCCCCTTCTCTGCACATATACTGTACTTTGATCAAGAGCTCATTGACTCCAGGCTGAGGAACTTGAATACTTCAGACTACTCCTCGTCTTCCACCATTGTTCTTTGCACTGGACTGAAGAAGCCACTGGCTGGCAAATTATTATAATCAAAAAGAAGCGCTAAGCCACAAAGGCTATACAGCGCTGCAGGGTAGGGAAGGAAGCGAGGGTATTAGATGGCAGGCAAAATGTTTCCAGAATAATGATATCCCAATTTTGTTGTTTATCTAACACTATAAAACTATACCACTATATTTTGTGCTTCAACACCTCAGTGACTTTCAGCATCATAGCTACAATACTAAGGTACTTTTCAACTATAATTTGTACAGTATTTGCATGGTAGTGTTAGTAGATTTTTTTTTTTTTAGTGATGATTTCAATTGTTCATTTGCTACTCCGGTGTATGCCGACAACTCCAAATCCTCCCATGGAGTTTAATATGCTGCTGGGTCCATGGCAAGGTAAAATAAGGGTCAGAGGTACCAAGAGTAGGTGGAATGTTGGTACCAGGCAAAGAGTGATTGTACAAAAGTGACTAGGTTCTGAGGCACATCTATGACTGTACTGGGGTTGAAGGGTGTAGCAGTTACTAGAGATCCAGGACTCCTCAAGGAAGGTTCCTTGATGCCAATAAGGGGCTTTCATGTCAGCAAGGAGCTCTTGATATTAGTGAGGGACTTGATGCAAGGAATTTGAGCTGTCTTTTTTTTTTTTTCTTGAAATAAGCCTGATTGCATCTCATTCCCTCAGGTGCTTTGTGACCCTTATGGATTTAGTGCTTTCCCATAAATATAGTAAAAGAGGTTTAGAATGCATTAGGGCACTGATCATAAGAATGAACTAAAAGAAACTACTTACCCATCTTGAAAGGCAGTGCTGGTGTTCCCTGGAAACCACCACTTACCCTACTAGGTGTATACCAGGATGGCATCTCAAGAATTGACTGAGCAAGTCTTGACAAAACTGCCTGCTTAGACAGGAACTCCCCTCAAGGGAAGTTCCTTGATGCTGGTGAGGGGCTCTTGGTCTGTGCTCCAGTTCCCTGAATTAAGCCTGAATACCTTCCATCCCTTTTCCCCCACAGGCGCTGTATAATCCTATGGGTTTAGCGCTTCCCCATTATTATAATAATAAGACAGGAACTGCAATCATCTTTTCAGCTAACAGTGGTGATGTGCAAACTAGCAAGGCTTCACTATTACTACTGAAAGCTTAAATAAGTGCAGACCATGGTATTCATGAAGATTTCAGTTTTTGTCATGTGGGTTACTTCCAAGAGGTAACCTCAATTTTGGCCTTTAACCCTTAAACGGTCCAAACGTATATATACGTTCACTCGCGTAGCGCCCCAACTTTTTTGAGGGAAAAAACAATCTTTTCTTTTAAAAGGAAAAAAGAGCATATGGTACCCAGCATCCCCAATTATTTTAATATGGCACACAGTGAGTGCGCACACCCATTCTCTCATGTCTAGGTGACTCAGGCTTATTGTGGCAATGTTGAATGAATGACAAAACGTATATATACGTTTGGGGTGCTACGCTCGTGGACGTTTATATACGTTTGGACCGTTTAAGGGTTAAGAGAGGGTGCCAAACAATCTCGGTAAACAAATGTGCCTCATGTAAGCCCAGTCTCCTAGAGATAGCTTACAGCATTGAGTTACCAATGATGTTCACAATTCTGCTACACAATAAGGTAATACATTTTTTTTTTTATAAAAAATAGAAAAATCTGTCTAATAAACCTTTATTTCATTCTTTTGAATATGTTTTGACAGGACAAAAATGGCAAAAAGCTCTTTTATTCTTTTCAAATGGGTTTTAATAAATCTAACATATACATAGGATAACCACAGCAAAAAGTCGTAAGGGTTCTTTAAGTAGTCTACTTATGGACAAGAGTAATTAAAGGACCTGTCTTACTGTGTTTTTAGTCTGGCTATCATGTATACTATTTGATATCACCTGTTTTTGTGACTGGGAGACGGCCGACTTGTTGAAAAAAAAAAAAAAATATATATATATATATATATACCACATGTATACATATACATATATGTTGTGCTTTTTAAGCCAATCTTGCTGACTTAGCTTCATTGGCAAACTGCATTTTGCCAAGCAAGCTTACCAAAATCTAATGCTATAATTCTGCAAAAATTAGTCAATGTAAAAAAAAAAAAATTAATGTCATAGATGTTAATACTATCTAAATTTAGGTTGAACCTGGGTTGAATCAGCCTAGACAGAATTATGAGAATTTAATAAGGATAGGTTAAGGATATTATTATTATTATAATCAAAAAGAAGCGCTTAGCCAAGGTTAAGGATAACTAAAGTGTAATGAATACTTGTACGTATATGCTCAGTAATAACCCACATGGAGACACCCAGAAGATTGTCTGTATACACAGACCAATTAATCTTCAGAGTTTGTCTTCATGTGAGTTATTATAGAGCAAGGATAACATTGTTGGTTTAGGTGCAAAATTTAAAATTTTCATATATTAATTCATGTAAACATATCTATAAATGCACAATAAAAAAAAGTTGAAAAATTTACTTTAAGGCAGTTCGGCTTGACTAACTTGGCTTATTAGACAACATTTTATATATACAGTATATAATACACACACAAAACTGTACTGTTTTCAAAGGCAGTTTTAGATGTGCATGTGAAAAATATATATAGTATATTATATTATTTTATGTATAAGTGGGTGTGATATGCATGTACATATAGATGCTTGACTACATGGTTGCTATAGCACATCCTTCTACATCAGCACACACACACTATACATACAGACAAAATGCATAGCAACTTGTAACCTATAACTTTACCAGCATATCACAATACTTGTGCTCCCAGGCTAGCACAACAAGGCTCTCAAGTGGAATTAAAGGTGACTATTACTCTATATTTACCATAGCTCCCTCCCCCTCCAAAGGTTTTGTTTGCATGTGTGTACTCAGTTAACTACAGTGTACTTAACTTGAGTATTATGTACAGTATATATGTGTGTGTGCACATGTACGTGTATATGTGTGTGTGCATGTTTAAAGTGAACTTGTCGTACATTTGATATATTTACTTCAAGTTACAACAGAATAAGTTTATTGTACAGTACAGTATTAAGCATCAATACGGTACAGTACACTTTTATCCATTAATCAGCTATCAACAATAACATGATATAAAACTAATATAATTACATGTAATAATATATGCAATATATCTGTAAAAAATCTTAGCCTTTTGTAAATTTACATAACTGTAGCTGAAAAATTATCAATATATACTGTAATTCAATATTTTACAATAATGGTGCATATTATGTAATGAGATTCAGTGACAACAAATGTGAAGAATGATTAAACAGTATTAACATTAACCTGTACAAACTAATCCAACATACAATTATTAACATGACTAGTTACATTTTATTTTTAATAATATTTTGCCATAATAGTGTCAACAAATAACAATATAAAATTAGTTAACAATGATGCTATTATTGCTTTTTTCCCCAGTTTGATTATGGCAAGAGTGGGTTATATAGTGATGCAACAAGTTATACACTATACAGTATTTGTATTCAGTAATACAAAAAAAATGTTTCCCAATTATCAAAGAAAGTAGAACATACCAAACAATACTACAGTCAGGGATTGAACCCATGGTTAGAGATTATTATTATTATTATAATAACCATGGTTAGAGAGTCGTAAAACTCCAGGCCAACGTGTTAGCCACTGGGCCAGCTGGCTACAATAAGATTCATCCAATTAGGTATATTTATACACCACAGGAAGGTTAGCATAGGCACCGCTGTGACCACAAATGCAAGTTTGGTGTATAAATATACAGTGGAACCTCTACTTGCGAGCATGTCCACGTGCAAGTTTTTCCAAACACCAGCAGTCGATGGGTTGATTTTTTGCTTCCATACGCGAGCAAAATTTCCACAAGTGAGCAGACCTCAAGGCAGGTTCCTTGACACTGGTGAGGGACTCTTGGGAATTGTATCTCATTTGTTTGTTAGACTATCTTATTGAAACTTGGGCAATGTATGATGGAAAGATGCTTCTTAACGTACACCAAAAATGAAAAGTCTAAGCATAAATAAGGAGTTCACTTCTCAGCAATTAGCCACCCCTTTGCTGTAATTTCGAATGGTTTTTATGGTTGTATTCTCGTTTTTTTGGTCTCACTGATAGAATGGAGATATAGTACAGAAATAGATATGATTTTAATTGCTTTCACGACGAAAAGCACCTTGAAATAGAGCTCAACCTAGGAGAAATGGTCCATTGCTTGGCTGTCCATTCCAATATGCAGTCATGAATGGGTTGACATTATTTATACAATTATTGCAATAAGGAATAACAGTAAATCTTATATTTTTTGTGTGAATAAAAACTACAAATTATTTATATAATAATAATGTACTACATATAATTATTATAATAATAGACGGCTTCAAAAGGCCGTCACTAGATGGCAGTGTTTACCACAACAAAGAGGGAGCGGTTGTGGCCGCCTCCACCTGTTACATAATGACATACTTTTTTCATTCTGGAGTATATATCATGTTTCTATGTTATTTATATTGTTTGTTATATCATATTAGATGAACTGTGATATATAAATAAGCCATATAGATGATATTAGCGAAATTATTCATGAAGTATTTTGCCCAGTCTCCAGACAAACTCTCGTCCACCGCCAACACTGCCCATACCACTACATGAATGACATATTTTATTCATTTTAGAATATATATCAGGTTTCTATGTTTTTATATTGTTTATTATGTCATCACATGAAGTGAGATAGATAAATAAGCCGTAGAGTTGATATTAGCAAAATTATTGAAGTACAGAATTCCACTGGAACGGATTAATTGTATTTCAGTTTATTTAAATGAGGAAAATTGACTCTGCAAACGAGCAAATCCAGTTGCGAGCAAGGTCATGGAACGGATTAAACTCGCAAGTAGAGGTTCCACTGTACCTAGTTAGATGAATCTTATTGTAGCCAGCTGGCCCAGTGGCTAACGCGTTGGTCTAGAGTTTTATGACTCTTACCATGGGTTCAAGCCTCGCCTGTGGTATGGTTTGTAATTTTATTATGATTTCACGAGTCAAATTAGAACATGAAATATTTACAGTAAAAATAATAGAAAGACTTAATCCAAGCACATACATTCTTAGGAGTTACTGTTTATGTTGATGTCCTTCCCTCAACACCTCTGCTGTGAGTGCTGAATGACCTTCATGGGTCTAGCACTTCAACTAATAAATAATAATCAGGAGCCACTGTAAGGATTCAACCCAGTCCGCTGTTCCAGTACAGCTACTTTTGTTGAAAAATCCAGTGATAAAACATAACTTATGCCAGTGTTGTCATTGGAACCTTGCTGATAATACATTAAATTCTTTAATAAATACTATTTACCTACATGAAAACCAAAACAAATATAGTATATACATTACTAGAGGATGCAGACTCGCTCAACGACACAAATATTTATCAGAAGACAACTGCTCAATCTTACTTCTAATGCTTCATGTAGTGATAAATTGCATTAATCATATTTATGGACAACAATTTTCTTTTAAATGTTTACTATGAAAATAAATTTTTTTCTATTTTACTTTTTACTTTTTTTTATTTATTATAAATGACATATTAAACTGCTTTGACTTCAAGAGTTGTCACTTGTAGTACCTTCATTCAATATAAAAATTTTATATGGCAGGCTATTGTACATAAAATTATCACATAATTAAGAGCAAAATAGATATGCCAAAATTTATGAGTTTTAATCTCAAACAGAATACTAATATCAGCAACATTTAGATGGCAGCTGTAAAGAATTCTGCAAATGAATGGAAAGCTTGACCTTTGTTTTTACCAGTATTCCTGCATATTATTTTACAAAGAGTTGTACCTCAGCTCATTTTAGTCAGGCTCATCCTTCACTTCCTGGTATAGAATATGCCTGCCTCCCATTCCCAAGGTGCTGTGAGACTCCTAAAAGGATTACTGCTGCCATCCAATTAGAATAATTTACGATATGGTATGCTGCTACTCAGGATGTAACCTACAACAGTCTACTAACACTCAGGCACCTATTTACAGTTAGGCAAACAGGAGCAGCAGGTACAGACATCTCACTCTGCCTGGGAGTCGAGTCCAAGAGCTTTCAGAGAGTGTGTGCTCTGATCACTTATCTATAAGTCACGGACATTTGTACAAGCATATTAGTATATGCCAAGCTCGAATATTACCCACATTGTACATTATAATATATGCAAGTCTCATTTAGCCCAAGTACTGTACAATATAATAAAGGGCAATCTTACTTATGACAGTTAACATAATTTAACAATACAGGATTCATTAGGGTACAAACTTGTATAACAATAACCTGCCCCCACTGGACAAATGCCTTAGTGGTTCCCATCAGCCTGATTGAGCCCATGTATCATACTTTACTCTCTTGAAATCACGCTAACAATTAGTAGTGCTAAATGATTGTACTGGTAGGTACATCATGTGGCACATTTTCAACAAGCAAGCAGATAAATGACCATCAAGGTTCACATTTTTTAAAACATTATTGCAAGGTTCATGGAAAACAGCATCAATTCAGATGTGGAAAGTGAGAAAACACATAATGACTTGTCACAGGAGTGTGTATCAGCAGGGAAAGAATGCTGTGGCATGTAAAGCGTACCCAGTCTGCAAGGTTGAACTGCCACTGTGAACAGAGATGAGAACAGAGAAGGTGAGGAGTGGTGGTGATTTAGGAATGACTGCCATCACTGAGATTATTCATGATTAATAAAGATTGGAGTCTGCCTCCCACACTAGGTGTGACATGTATGTAATCAAATGTATCTAAATGTAAAGTATACTTGTGTAAAGTAGAAAGGTTTTCTTTGAAAACAATGAAAAATCAATGGAATGGTTTACAAGAGGTAGTATGTATGTGTTACAACCATTAGAAGCATTAAAAACATTAGACAGCCTTAATACTGAACATGCAACACCATTAGTTTGGTTGCTTCCATAACTACAAGTAAGTAATCACAACCTGGGATGTGGTGAAATAACCATTAGCTGGGTCTAAATGCATTTACCACAGGTAACAGCCAGAATCATTTGAAAAATAGTCCATTGTTTTTGTAATATGGCAAAGACACTGACCCAGAATCAATTCCAATACACTTAAATATAAAATAGCAATATAATTTCCCCATAAATCAATTAAGTTTATTTAAACAAATTATGCTAAATAGAGCAACTGAAATGTTAGAATCATCAGTAAGTTATTCTGTTAATTTTAAGAGACATAAAAATAAGAAAATTATTACAGTATCAACTTTTCTGTGATTATTCATGCGACTGCATTAAACTTGACTTTGAAAGTTAGTGAATTTACAGTAATAAAACTATATTATTTCACCGACAATAACCTTTTACAGAAATGGTTGGCTCAGGTCCTTTATAAAACAACTTTACAAATTGAACTTGCCTACATATAATATTGAATTTCAGTGATGACAACCTCTAAATGGAAATACAGGCAGGCCCTGCTTTACAGCGCTTCACTTTAAGGAGTTTCACTAATACAGTGGTTTTCAATTATACCCTTTCTTCATTTATTTAGACTTCCTACAATAAATATATTCACAACTCACTATAAGCTAAGGATAAAAATATTTTAAGATACATAATGTGCCTACTGTATATGCATTTTTTAGGCCTTTTGTAAACATTGCTAATATAATTTAAATCAGCAGTTTTCATCTTACATATAGCAGTGGTCTATCATTTTACTCAGCAAGCAGCTGGACGATGGTACTGCAAATCTGTATTTCATGAGGTAATTGAATGCAGAAGTGACTTTAAATCTATAAATACAGCATCTCCATGGGGAAGTTGAGAAGAATTCTTCCTTCGTAAGACATGCACGTCGTAAGAGGCAACTAAAGTGCCGGAAACAAGGGGCCAGTAACCCATTTTCCTGTATAAATTACTAAATTTAAAAAGAAAAACTTATTTCTTCTTTTTCAGGTTACCCTGCCTTGGTGGGAGATGGTCAATGTATTAAAAAAAAATATAGTGTGAAGCAAGGCAGCCCTGAGTAATCCATACAAGTTTAGCCTTTTTTATGAACAGGTTCAAAATACTCCAGAAAGCAAGGAACCGTACATGACACAACCTGTTAGGACAGGAACACAAAATATGAGTTCAATATCAAATTTAAGCGAGTCCTTAGTACTAGTTTTTGTTTAAAAATGTCTGATGACTATATGTATTCATAAGAAAATGCCAGAGCAATACAGGTCATACAGTAGCTGGGGAATGAGAGGAAATCGGGTATGATTAGAGGAAGGGGAAGGTAGGTCCAGTTTTGTGCTTAAAAGTCCTTTACTTGCAGAAGAGTAAAAAAAAACAAGTAAGATTGGGTCAGTTGCTAGGAGAAATGAACAAATTAACCATTGTCGTTTCTGATAAGGATTTTTGAGACAAAAATAGCCATTAGCTGGATGATAAAATGTGTGATTTGGACAATACACTAACTGGACAGGAAAAGGGTCAAGCCAAAAGATTTCAGGTAGAGGCATGTGAAGATCCCTGTCCCAGTGGAAAACCCTGGCACTAGAACATAAAAACATAAGAACTTAAGAAAGAAGGAACACTGCAGTAGGCCTACTGGCCCATGTGAGGCAGGTCCAATTCTCCTACCTGCTTAAGCGAACGCCCTAACCTAGTCAGGTCAGGTCACATTCACTTAAGGAAGGAGCACAGCATCTGACCTAGTAGCACAAGCTAGTCAGGTCCAACTCACACCCACTCATGTATTTGTCTAACCTATTTTTAAAACTACACAACGTCTTAGCTTCTATGACGGTTCGCGGGAGCTTGTTCCACTCATCCACAACTCTATTACCAAACCAGTGCTTTATTATATCCTTTCTGAATCTGAATTTTTTCCAACTTAAAGCCATTGCTGCAAGTCCTGTCTAGGCTAAATATTTTTAGCAAGCTATTTACATCCTCTTTATTTATTCCTGTTTTCCAATTATACACCTCAATCATATCCCCCTAATTCTACGCCTTTCCAGAGAGTGCAGACTCAGGGCCCTCAGTCTATCTTCATAGAGATTTCTGATACATGTGATCAACTTTGTCATTCTCCTTTGTATGTTTTCCAGTGCATTTATATCCATTCTGTAATATGGTGACCAGACCTGTGCAGCATAATCTAAATGAGACCTAACCAAAGATACTAGGGGTCTGAATTTCATTTGTCATGTTTTCTATTATGACATTAGTGTAATCATTCAAGTTTTCAGATTAATTTATAACTTGAACTTTAAAGATATAGTAAACTTTTACTAGAGATTTACCTGCGAGCTGCTATCGAGTGACCTTGAGAAAAGAAGGAAACCTTGGCTGGTACTGTCTCCCCCACTTGGCCTGAGGAGTTTGCTCAGGTCAACTATTATCTGTACAAAATTATCATGTTCCAAGAAAATCAATAAATACTGCAACATTTTTTTTTTGTAATACAGCAATAATTTTTTTTGTATTGATAATAAATCTTATAATCTCTAAAATCTAAGTGCTATTTTATAATGTTGAAGGCTGGTTAATAACCAAGTTGGCTGTAAACATTGTTTACTGGGATTAACTAGGTTTGTTTTAATTCAAGTTGTTTGGTTAAATCAAGTTACGCAAAAATATGCTTATTCAATATAAATGATAGATAACAGGAAAGTAGTGGTCATTTATGCTTGATTCATTTGGAAGGCTAAATGAAACATCCAAAGTTGGATTATAACTGATTGAAGAATTCTGAATGATTTTACCTGTGAATGCATGATGGATGACTGACAATAGATGAAAAAGAGAATTTTCAGTGCCAATCTTGATAGTGCACTCACCTACATGTGGCTGCATGGGTTGAGTCTCAGCTCCTGGCCCTGTATCTGAACTTGCCAGATTCACTAACTTCTTCACCCAGATCATTCCACTTTCTGACAACCCTGAGACTTAAGATATACTTCCTGACATCCCTGTGGTTCATCTGTGTCTTCAACTTTCACTTGTGTCCCCCGAGTTCCTGTTTCTTGCCTCTCAAACATCATGTCCCTGTCTACCCTATCAATTCATCGAGTATACTATATCTCCCCTGGTTCTTCTATCTTCCAATGCTGTTATATTAAATTCCATTAGCCTCTCCTCAGAGCTCATACCTCTTAACCCAGGAACAAGACTTGCTGTGCACTTCTTTCTTGCCTGCAAGATATTTCGTTGGTCAGGGAACCATACATTAAAGCATTTTACCAAGCTATTAATATTTGTCTGGCTGACTGGTAGGGTGTGACTGTCTGTCTGGTGCTTAGGAAGAGGGTTTTCCTGACCTAATTGGTAATGTTAGTTACATTCACAATAACAATGCTGATCCCACTGCTGTCTGCCCAGATCTGAGCAAGATTTCCTTCCCAGACACAGAAAGATAAGTCATCAGTGGCTCTGCAAAACCCAACAACAATGGATGCATATACACAGTCTTAAACTTTGGACAAGCGAGTAGAGATGAAGTTTGCCAGCAAAGCAGCCAGTGGCCATCAGTGTGTCACCCAGCAGTATGATTCACAATAAAAGCCTTTGTCATCAGACCACTTCACTTGGGGATTAAAATGTGATTGCCTAGGGACAGCTTTTAATTTTTTTCAGCCAGCTTAGAAAAGATGCAGTGTAAAAAGCAGGCAGCATGTATGTCAAAATTAAGTTAAAATTAGTCTAAAATGAACAAAATCTAGTTAAAATTAATACCTGTAGTCATTTTCCTAACTTCAAGATGACTCGTATACAAATATAAATACATACATACATTTATACAATATAAATACACTTACATAGCTTAACAGAAAAAAAAAGATAGCTGATCTCCCAACTTACTGTGTTCTAAAATTTCTGCTTAGGTACAATAATATGAAAGAGAAACCAAAATGTCAAACTATGAAAAACAAGGAAAACCAGCATGAGGGATATGTTTTGGTATTTGAGAGAAGTGTAAATACACTATATGCAGTGATGATTTTATTTATACAACGTCTCGCCCACTGGTGGGCTTTTCATCAGCTTGTGTGAGAAACGTACAAGTATAGATTTCTCTGCATTAGCTGTATTTACCAAGGGTGTAAGTAACCACTTATCTGCTCTCCTAAAGCAAGTGTACACAGTTAACATGCTTTCTGCTTAGCTGTGATGTCTTGAGATGACTATGTGAAAGTATGAATTAAGTAGCACACAGGGAGGTGTGACTGGTGAGTTACGAGTATCCTAGTATTCTGAAGATGAGAAAGAATGACAAACATAAATAAGTCATAGTACATATACTACAGGGTAGCAAGGGGCTAGTAACCCCTTCTGTATATATATTACTAAATGTAAAAAGAAGATTAGCTTTAGTTTTCTTCTTTTTCAGGTCGCCCTGCCTTGGTGGCAAATGGCTAGTATGTTGAAAATAAAAAAAAACATATACAGTGGACCCCCGCCTTACGATATAATTTCATTCCAGAAGTATGTTCAGGTGCCGTTACCGAACGAATTTGTTCCCATAAGGAATATTGTGAATTAGATTAGTCCGTTTCAGACCCCCAAAAATACACGTACAAAAGCACTTACATAAATACACTTGGAAGCTGATCGTAAGGCGGGGGGGGGGGGGGGGTCCACTGTACAATAGGCAAGTATACCTTTTGTGTGATGAGGATGTTATGCTACATGTAGTTTGGATATGAACTGTATGCCTGGAAAAATCATGTAGTTTAGATATGAAATGTATGCCTGGAAAAAAACGACATAAAATAAACAGTTAAAAAAAAAATCCAAATTAAAAGATTATGACTGAACAATATGTACATAAAGGTAAGTAGAAAATAGTTATAAAATCACTCTGGTGTTTATAACAATAAATATCCAACTCTGGAAATACCAGGACTCAAACCCATGGTAAGCCAGCCCTAAAACTAGCAGGTCAATGCTCTAACCACTAGAATATGTAGGCTTAACAGTTATAGGACTGCCTTGCTATGGTTCAAGCCCTGTCTCTTCCTTAGAGTTTTTCAATCATGTTACTACAATTTTCATGAATTGCTAACTCTCCAAAATTAGTTACATTAAATTCTTGTATACAAATAAAGTGGAGTGGTACCTTGTGTAATGGAAGTTGGTGGTACAATAAGGGATACTGAAAGATATATTACATTCTTCAAGTATCAAAAATGGCAAAATATATTCTTGCTTATTGATACTTAGCATCATGCGCAGTATGCTCGTCAATACTGTATCCTTTCGTACTTCCAGTTTTCTGGTAATCCTATTAAAATAATTTTTAATTTATATAAAAAATAAATAGGAGCTATACAATTCAATTTTATGGTATTCTGTACACAGATTGGACATTTCAATGATACCGAATTATTATCCTCATTAACAATAAACTGACATAGTACCTCAGTATTTTGACAAATTTAAAAATGATTTTATTATGGAAGTTCTCCAAAAACAAACCTGTTTTACTGAATTAAGTGAAGAGTGCTTAAATTCATAAAGGAATGTATTTAAACACTAACTGGACAGTTTTGCTAGCTGTTAGATGTCTCAGTTCTTGATGAAAAACAAAAATAGTGGTGGAATTTTTAGATGAAGCTTAAGAAATGTGCTTCAGTATCTCTAGTGACCAGATTTTATATTTATGCTTTTGAAAAAATAGCATCAGCATATAATGCTGAAGGAATCTTTTGGCATTTACATGATAGGATACCCAGTATGCTAGTGTTTTCCTCTCATTCACTATTTTAAAATGCTATCATGCTGTTATAAACTTTTTAATTGCTTCCAATTTTTAATGTTTATATCTATAATAATTACATTAAGAGATTTAAAATGCAAAAATAATTTAGATCATCACATACTGCATAATAAATTTCAAACTTACTACCAAATTCATGTATGAATTGAATGATATTTCCTGTCCATTTTGTTTTAGTTATTTGTGTCTCATATTCCTTTGTGCACAACTGTATTATTTAACATTTTGTTTTTGGAGAACATATTCCACATTTCAACACTCAGTTTCTGTTATTGTGTCTTTTGGTCTGCCTTCTGACTCACTAACGACAGGCACCTGAAGTGTTGCCATACACGGCTGGAGGTCTTTTGAATTTGAAGCAGAATCACTGGAAGTTTCACCAACGGCTGGAGTCTGAGGTCGTACATATGGTGGCGAACATGGACGGGGAGAAGACCTTGATGTCAGCCATCCCCCAGATGCTGGCAGAGCACCAGAGGAAGCCCACTGAATGTGTATATCTTCACGTAAGGAAGACCGACGTGCACTTGGACTACCTGGTTGGGAAGATATGAGTCGAGTACCTCTGCCACATAATGAAGACGAGTGATGAAGACTTTGGTTGATGGTTTGCAAGGAGGGCAAATGCTTGGACCCAGGCACGGATAATAATTCTGAAGGGTTATTATCTATACTGGTTGTGCTATGACGCTTTCGAAGTTCTGCTGCTCTTGAGTCTCTTCGAACATTAAATGTGGTCATACCATCATCTGTGTCAGAGAGATCTGTTCTCACAGAACAAAGGTCCTCCAGAGAAACAGCCAAATTTTCCGAGTCTCGGTGCATTCTTCTCGAATTAACCCTTTTCCATTAGTTGTAATCGCTTCTTCTGCATCACGCAAAGGATTGAACTAACGTTTTAAAAAATCCCAGTAGAACTAAACGATGGCGCGTCGCAGCGGGGGCGACCCTTTCCCAAAAAAGCAGTGGGAGACGAGGGGGGGAAATCGGACATAAACAGTTCTAACTCACAGCCAAACTAGGTATTCACTGGAAAGTGAAATTGGGTGGGGGGGACTTGGGGAATTACTTAAATTCGGGGCGACAGGAAAGGGGTAGATAGACTTCTTTCATTTTTGGGGGTAAATAAAGGACAGTAGCCTCCCCAGGAGATGCATGGCTCAATATATCTGAATGCATTTCCTCTTCTGCACTCAACTTCTAGCCCCTGGATCCCTTCAAGAATAGAGTCACTTCAATATCTAACCATGAAAACTCCCTTCGAGGGACTGAAAACCTTCCCCAAACTCACCACTATGTTTGTAGATTTCGAATGCTATTTTTCCCCCTCCAGACAGCTTGCTTCTCTGAACTACGACCAAAAAATCCCAGATTCAAAATCCAATTTCGGGGTTTGAGTGCGATTCGGCTTTTGCTCTTTAGTTTTTAACAGACTTATAGAATCTAATTAAATACCCCATTGGACTTTTTGGGACTTGATGTTTTTTAAAGGCCTCCAAAAACCAAAGATATTTGAAGAATTTTGGCTTTGGACATCATTTTCTGATCTGTTGTGTCACCATTTCCTATCGCGGCTTCGGGCCAAGGGCGGGTCTGCGTGAATTTGCTGTGCAGTTTCTTCCAACATCCGATGAAGATAGTCTGTGAGAGAGAGCGGGATGTGCCCCCCCACCTTGAGCGTGAGTACCAGTCCCCGAACAGGGTGAACTTGATGTTTTTTTTCCCAACGTGACAAGCATAAAGCGATGAACCACAGCGTAACTGTTTTTTGTCTGTCCATGTTCTTTAAAACGCTTGACATGGAAGTCAAGGTTATTTACAGAAGTCTTTGCAGCAAAAAAACTTATATGCTGCTTAAATTTCGTTGCATTGACCCTCATTCCTCTGCCTGACACGGACCGTTCCTGAAAAAAAATAACAAACTAATGTAAAAAGTATTTCATGTTTATTTGGGAAAAACCTATTTCAGTAAAAAGAAGACAGACAAAAGAAAACAGATATTAAAACACAGCGTTAAAAGAAAAGAAAAGAGATAAAGTTTGGAGAAAAAACAGAGTACTGAAGAGAAAGTGCAAGAAGGAAAAATATATTCACACCCCTAAAAATTTTCACTTTTTTTAATTTTTTTAGAATTAAGATTTAAGTAAAGCAGCTAGTCTGCATGCAGAATCCGGAAAGTCATTTAGGGAAAAGACAGGAAAATTCATCTCTTTGGCAGGACCCGGGAAAAAAGGTTCACCCTCATGACAAGAGATCCAATAAAGTTGGTAGAATTACCGACAATATTAAAGTAAAAGGACCAAGTGCAAAAAATGTGACTTTTATTGGGGCAACGTTTCGTTCCAGGAGGCTTTATAAAGCCATTACGTAATGGTTGATAAAGCTCCTGGAGAGCAAAGTTGCACAAAAAAATTTCAAATTGTTGATTTGTGTCTTTTACTTTACACAAGGACCCAGGAAAAGCCACCAACTCAAAATGGAGGCTCTAAAGTGGCAAAAACGGAATGCACCCATTCAAACCCTTACCCCAAATGACAAACAGGTTCACAATGTAGCAAAAAAGAGTGATTTCCTGAGAAGCAGTTTTGGCAGCATATTTAATTAGAACAAACAAAGGCTGCATAAGAAGCATTCCCCATTTTTCCCCCTGGGCAGGGGGAGAGCATTTTAAGAATGTCTACATCCACGGGAAATCCACTTTCAATTTCTTTATACAAGACCCCCCTGTCAGGTAATGCCAAAGTTAACAAATATCAGCTTTTTCCCGCCAAGCAGGGTGGGCATGCAAAGAGTACGTAAACCTTTATTGGGCATGGAACACCTCTTTTACGGGCTTCCCCCCCAACCAGCAAACCCGGGTTGAAAAGATTAGTGGGGCCCCCCTCTTTCACTAGTCCCAGGTTTGCCATAAAAAGGGGGGATTGACAATCGAGAGGTTATGTGGTCCGCCTCCTGTTGCCCTTGTCTTTCCCCACCTAGAGCGGTTTTGAAGCACGGTCTGTATCTTGTGGCTTCTTTTCTGCCTTGCTTCCCGTGGATGCATTATTTACATGTACATAGTGTACATATTGCTGTTATAATTGGTGAAGGTAATTAAGTCTAAACTTTTTCTATGTTTTTATTGCTCCCTTTAAACCCCGGGTAAAGGCCATTTAAAACCCTGGTTGTAATATGGGTAGCCTGCCGGAGTTGGGACTTAGAAAAAAGGGTTGGTTGGGTGAAGCTTGTACAGGAACATTGTGTGCTTGTGTTTCGCTTCGCAAAAATTTTGCGTGAGTCGCTTATGATCACCTTTTTGTGTGTTTTAAAACAGCTCGCTACTAGCTTGTTCAGTGTGCTCGTTCGCTCGCAATCTTGTGGCGTGGCTTTGCTGTATGGTATTCTGCAATTTATGTGCTAGCTAAGGTGTTCTGCAAATTAACGTGTTAGTTGGGGTATTGTACTGGCATAGCGAATAACTTATGCCACTAGACGGTAAACGGGTTCGGCTATATTTTGCATAACCCTCCCTAAATTGTCCCTACAGCGTTTTTGGGCAAATTGCTCTTCCTTTGGCTTTCCCTATAAAGACTCTCCGCTGCGAAGGTTTCATTTTTGGCATACTTATTGAAGAAGAGATGGCACATCAAACTCCCCCCTTTAGGGGAGTGGGGAAAAAATATTTTTCCCGCAGGAAGATGATACACCCGGGCAAAATGGTCATATAGTGCAGTGGGTTGTTCAGGGTGAATCAGCGTCGTTGGCACTTGGGGCAAAAAAAATTTTGAGCAAAGGGGGAACAAGAGTTCGAAAGGGAAGAATTTGATGGGGAAGAGAAAGGAGGCTTTTTTCGCTTTTTTAAAACGATTTCATTTAAAAAAAGCAGTACAGCTTGTTCCCCCTTAAATGGGGCCCCGAACCAGAGCAATTTTTCGAAAGCTTCAAAAATCAGGCTCGAGCTTGAGGGGGCCCGGAACAGCACTGGGCAGGTTGGTTCATCGCATTATTGGGTAAGGCACAGGTTTTTCGTGGGTATTAACTGACGCTAAATTTTTCCTGATTATAAAAGTATGAAGCCCACAGTTTTGGGGAGCATATAATGTACCCCAGCTAAATATCGAAAGACCTTAAATTTAAAACGGGCGGCAGCTTGGTCAACCCCTGGTGGACTTTGTGAGACAGAAAACCCCAAAGTTTTACCAGCGGTATAAAGCGAGGGGTGTCTTAACTTGAGGAGCGGTGAGTTATTTGTTGATAACCCTGCGGGGAGTCTGTGGGACCGAGGTTCGTGTTTTCTGCAGGATCGTGACTTAAACCCACTCCCTTTGGGGGGGGGGCCCAGGTTGGCTGATACCTTCAAAACAAACCCGCCCCTTGTCCGAGCGGTCCCTCTCTTTTTTAAAACATTTTCTCGGAGCAAGCGAAAACTTTGGGAAAATGAAGTGCCAGCCGGGGGGGGAGGCTACGCACCAACCAATTTCACCTGGTGACCACGTTTCTAAATAGGGTCCCCCTGGGAGGGGCAAACTACTTTGGAGATCTCGACAAAAATTTCCCAGAGAGGCACCAGCCAGAAGACACATTGAAACGTCATCAGGGAGTAAAAGGGCAAGCCTGTCGTCTGCTTCAGGTGAAATGAGGTCAATCATTTCCAATGCCCCCAAAAACCTCAACCCCTGGAAAAAAAATTTCCAAATATCCCAGAACATGTCCCCTAGAGAAGTAGAAAAAGGTATGGCCCCTTATTATTGCAAAGTCTTTTTTCCCCCTTCGGGAAAAAACTCAAAAACCAAAACAAAAGTAAATTTCCCTTTAGAGAAGGGAGTTATTGCTCATTTGTAGAAAAGGAATTTCCCCCCTTTCGAGAAATATTTCCTTGAATTCCTCAGTTTTTATTGGAAGCTTAGGGGGAGTATATATTCAGTTCCTTTGATTAAAATTTATGTCGTGAAATATTACACGGGGTTTTTGATGTGGGTATTCAAAGGTTTTCCCATGAAAAATGCCTTTTTATTACTGGGTAATAACTTATACGTTACTTCGTGTCCTAAAATTAATGATTAATTTCTCCAGTTTTGGGCCCATAACTGGGGCAACACCCCAAAGGGGTTTGTCGGGGAGAAGTTGACCCCCTTGGGACGACCGATCTGGGAATACCCCGTTGTTTTATGAGACACACCGGCCGGAGCCCGAAAATCAAGTGAACAGCCCCCGTCAACCCTTCTATTCCCAGGTTGCAGGGGTTCCCCGATGTCTTTTTTCCATGCCCGAGGGACTGTCCTTCGGGGGGGAACAACGTAAGGACCCTTTGTTAAAAAATTTACTTTTGAGGCGCCATGGGTAAAACCCTTTGGGTCATCGTCAAATTTGAAGTTAAAAATATTATTTGGTTGCACTGAATGGTAAGGAGACAGAGGGGCCCGGGAATTTTACGACAGGTTTGGGGTTCCAACCAAATATAACCCCAGAATTAAAAATAGCTAAATTCATCGGGGTCATTTGAATTTCAAAAAACCCTTTTATAGAATCACAAAAGAATTTTATTGGCCAACTTAAAGAAAAATGTGAAAAATCAATTAGGTGTTCCGAGAATGCAGAAGTTGGGAAAACCCGGACATTCATTTAAAAACCCGCACCTCCCAACCCCTACTGCTGAGGAGAACCTTTGCAGATTTAATTATAGATTTGTATCCCCTCCTAAGTCAAAGTCTGGAAAACAGTATTTATTTACAATTTGGATAAAGTAACCAGTTCCTGAAGCGTCCCAATGCGGTTTCAATACTAAAGCTATTCCAAAGCTTTAACAAAATTCTTTCTTTTTTGGCATTCCCAAAACTATCAAAATGT